TTTGGTAGGGACCCCCAAAGGCCATCCAGTCCAGCCCTGTTCTTAAATAGGAATCGTTTGTTAAGTCAGACGGCCTGTATATGTGTGTGTGTGTGTGTGCGTGTATGAGATAGATATAGTATCACAGATTTGACAGGGACCCCCAAAGGCCATCCAGTCCAGCCCTGTTCTTAAATAGGAATCGTTTGTTAAGTCAGACGGCCTGTATATGTGTGTGTGTGTGCGTGCGTGTGTATGAGATAGATATAGTATCACAGATTTGACAGGGACCCCCAAAGGCCATCCAGTCCAGCCCTGTTCTTAAATAGGAATCGTTTGTTAAGTCAGACGGCCTGTATATGTGTGTGTGTGTGTGTGCGTGCGTGTGTATGAGATAGATATAGTATCACAGATTTGACAGGGACCCCCAAAGGCCATCCAATCCAGCCCCGTTCTTAACTAGGGGTCATTTGCAAGTCGGATGTTTGTAACCCGGGCAGTCCCTGTAATGGGACTTGCATAGTTTTTCTTGGTGTCTTGGAACCAAACCCCCGCGGATATTGAGTACCCAATGCATAAATAAGTGGTAAATATAGGTAATAAAGTGCCATAGGGTGGAAGCCATCCCTTTTGCAACAGACATTGTAATTATCCCCCAAAGGTATGTTCAGAAGGTATGTTCAGGTTAGGCAAGGTTATGGACAACGCCTGGGGAGAAGGAGAGACAAACCGGGGCTGCATGGAAGGAAGTGACTCACCCCCAAAACTGGGGACAGGACCTCCCTCCTTCTTGCTCTTTCTCTCTCTCTCTATTTGGAAATGAAAGAATGAGTCTCCCCTTGAATTGCAAACACAACCCTTTGGTTCCTGCTGCTCCAACTACTAGGCAGCCTTCTCTCTTTTGGAGCTTCGTCTTTTGGGTGCTTCTCCATTCCTTGGAGGAAAAAATAAAACCTGTCCAGTACAGGGTGAGTGCTTTACTATTTTGAATGGGGAAACGAGGTTTCAATTTGCCCTAGCTGCAAGTAGTGTCTTATTAACTCGTGGAACTCTCTGCCACAGGATATAATTATAGCAGAACATAGCTTGGAGGGTTGCGTGAGAGAACTGGAGCAGCAGAGACAGTGACGGCCTCGTTTTCTGATGGTTCAACGTGCTCAAATGTGGTTTCATGCACAGAATCATTACAAATATTGGCTCAAGATACCTAAAAATTTACATGTATAAGGTATACATGAAACATGCATGGATCTTGGAGATGGGAGCCAAGTCTAAACTTGATATTCATGTATGTTCCATATATATCTTATACACAAGTCTGATGGATGCCCATCTGTTGGGAGGGATCGGATGGGTATTTCTGTCTGGCAGGATGGGGTCGGGCTGGAAAGCCTTTGGGGATCCTTTCCAACTCTGTTGAAATAAAGACTACCTGGGAATGCGATGGAGTCTCTTCCTTAGGGTATTTTAAAAGCAGAGGCCGAATGGCCATCTGTCAGGAGGGCTTTGATTGTGTCTTTCTCTCTGGCAGAAGGGAGTTGGACTGGATAGCCTTTATTGTCTCTTCCAACTCTTGGATACTTGAATTATCTCTATCTATCTATCTATCTATCTATCTATCCATCTATTTATCTGACTTATATCTATTTCTATCCATCATCCATCTATCCATCTATCCATCCTATCTATCTATCTATCTATCTATCTATCTATCTATCTATTTATTTATTTATTATTTATTTATTATCTGCATTTATTGACCGCCACTCTCAGCCCGAAGGCGACTCGTGGCGGTGTACAAAACATAGAACATATAGACAACAGTTACAATAATCAAGTCCATACACAACGTCTTACTAACACACAACTACTTAAACTAAAAATCCGCTTCGTCTTGTTTGGGTCATAATCAGTCTCATAGTCATAGTCCATTCCGGTGGTCATTCAAAACATAGCACTTAATTGAAGGCCTTTTCAAAGAGCCAAGTTTTCAGGCCCTTGCGGAAGGCCATAAGGGAAGGCGCCTGTCTAATTTCGGCCGGGAGGGCGTTCCACAGCCGAGGGGCCACCACCGAGAAGGCCCGCTCTCTAGTCCCCGCCAGGCG